AATCAAAAAAAAAAAAAAAAAAGGTCATTGTTTTTCTTTCTTTTCTGATTTTTTCAGTTGATGAAATAAACATGTTATCCTTTCTTTCACATTAGTAAAGTCTCTCTATCCCATTTCCTCTCCCAGCTGCCTCCCTCTTCTCTTCTTCCTTTACAGAAGTCTCTGCAGGAGTGTCCCTTGGCCCCCATCTAGAGTGAGCTGAGTGAGTGGGTGCCAGCCCTCCCTCCCACAGCACCCACAAACTGCCACCACTGTCACCACTCCACAACTCCAACGCTCCATTCAGCCTTGGCCAAGCTGGCTCACAGTCTCTTGCAGAACTGATCATTCGTCCCCCTGACCACCGTGTCTTCACTGGGTTTCCAGACTCCACGCTTTCCATGCAGCTCCCTGCCCCATCCCTGGACGCCTACACACTCCCTGCACTCACTCACCGACCCACCCTCTGAGCTGGGGCTTCTCCATGCACAGCCTTGAGCCTTGAACCAAACACTCACTCTCTGGGTCTCTGGACAAAATCTGTTTTTTGAACCCAGATATCATTCAATACCTTGAATATGACACAGACAAATAGAACAGTCTTTTGAAATGGGTTCCAAACTGACCTCCTGAGTCCTCCCTCAAACTTGCTCATCATACAGGCTTCTCCATCTTAGTCAACGCAACTTTAGCCCTCGTTCTTTCCATGGGGGCCTAACATTCACCTCCTGAATCTCTTTTTAATCTTACCTACAAAAAATTTATAACAAAACCAACCTATCTTTAAAGTATATCTGGAACCCAAGAACATCTCACCATCTCTCCCACCTGTACTCCAGGGTCCAAGGCCTGATCCCCAGCACGAAGAGCTGCCGAAGTGTCCTCCTCTGGGACCTGAGCCGTGCTCTGCCCGAGTGTTACTATTAAAGCTCAGGAGAGTTTGGCCACTTCTCTGCTGGAGCTCTAATTCCTTCTCTCCTTCAGAATGAAAGTCAAGGTCACTGGGTGGTCTTACGCAATGGGTGGCTGTGGCCCTGGGCTGACTGAGGGCACTCAGCAATGTTGGAGGTGTGCTCCTCTCCCTCTCTACCTCTGTCTATCTTTCTTGCTCACAGGAAAAGAGAAATAAACTTTAAAAAAAAAAAAAAAAAAAAAAACGATTGTCACAAAAATTATTTGCATAAAGCTACTCTGACATTTTTTAAATGAAAAAGAAACACATTCAAACTATCTTTCTAAAGCATGTCATTGCGAATCAGCACAAAACGTTGTAGAGCCTCAGTCTCATTGACAATTCTCTACTGGGATGGCCTTACACCGAGCAAGTCATGCCGAAACCACAAATCCCAAGTCGGAATATCAGGCGGGCACTATATCAAACTGCACCTGGAATCAGCACCCGGCTGAGCCGGGAGACCAGCGGGCCGTGTCGAAGCCTGGGCAGGCTCCGCTGGCCTGGTTTCTCTGCGAGGCCTGACACCTTCATCCACCCTCGGTTCTGCGACTCAGAGCCTTTCCTGCTCATGGACGCAGGGGTGCGGGCTCACATCGGCCTCCAAACCAGATGAACCCAATGCCATCTGTGAAAAGGATTGACGTGTGCGGGGCCCGTCCACACGGCTGACAGGGCACCACTGCACTGACATGTGTGGGACCCACTCACACGGCTGACATGGCACCACCACATGTCACACACGGCTGACACGGCACCACTGCACTGACATGTGTGGGACCCACTCACACGGCTGACATGGCACCACCACATGTCACACACGGCTGACATGGCACCACCACACTGATGTGTGCAGGGTCCGTCCACACGGCTGACACGGCACCACCGCACTGACATGTGCAAGTCCCACTCACATGGCTGACACGGCACCACCACACTGACGTGTGCGGGGTCCATCCACACGGCTGACACGGCACCACCACACGTCACACGCTGACATGGCACCACCACACTGATGTGTGAGGGCCCGCTCACATGGCTGACACGGCACCATGTCACACACGGCTGACACGGCACCACCGCACTGACATGTGTGGGACCCACTCACACGACTGACATGGCACCACCACATGTCACACACGACTGACACGGCACCACTGCACTGACATGTGTGGGACCCACTCACACGGCTGACACGGCACCACCACACTGACGTATACAGGGCCCATCCACATGGCTGACACGGCACCACCGCACTGACGTGTATGGGGCCCGTTCACACGGCTGACACGACACCACCGCACTGACACATGCGGAGCGCCATCCTGCTACACGTTCTGCACAGTCCCCAAGCCCGGTCATCGGAACAAGCCAGAACCGAGCAGGGACTTCGACATGGTGACAAGCATGCTGCAGGGAGACACAGCCCGGAGGTGGCGTGCCCTGCGACGCTCAGCTGGCAAGGGCAGAGCGTGGGAATCTGGATTCCAACACCCACATTTTTAATGCAACCTCCGAAAGTGCTCCTGGCCTGATCACTCCGTGTGTGCGTGTGTTAGGCCACTGTTGGGGACACCTTCTTGTGCTAGAGGCCTGCTATTTTAGGAACGCAAAGGTTGTTTTGAAAACAGTGCTTTGGCCTTTTGCCTTCTGTTTTTGAGAAAGAAAACACAGGAATTAACTGATAACTTTGCACCTTTACATCTTAATGGTGCAAGCTCGCAGTCCAAACTGAGCACATGGGAACCGCTGGCGTCACGCCTAACTAACGTGGATAAAGCACAAAGGCTGAGTAACCGCCCTTCACTCTGAAGTCCCTGCCGTGAACTCACAGTCTCAGCAAGCGGGACGTGTCGGCCTTGTGGGGCTTTGCGACTCGTCCGCGCTACCTGGGTCTGCCCTTCCTGCCTGACTACGAGGCTTGCCTGCAGCGGTGTTCGGCAGCGGGTACAGCGCAGAAGGAAAGTGCTAGGAGTCTCAGAGACCAGTGAGGGCCGAGGTTCCCTCCCTTTCTGAATGCGTAAGGTAGCAAGGTGAGTAAGTTACCAATTTAGAGCTTTCAAAGAAAATACAAGCTAACAACCTTGCTTGCAGTCATTAGGAAAAGAAAAATAAATACGTGAAGTTTTGTGTGTGTGTGTAGCATTGTTTTGTGTCAGATTTGTGTTTCCCTGAAACCTTTAAATGACTGGAAGCCAGATGGTATTTCTGGATTAAATTTCAAAATTCTCATGATAGGCTTTTATGAGACTACTTTTATGAAGAAAAAACTTTTGATTCCAATTTCAGTTTCGGGCATCTTAGCTGACTCACACGGTATTTCTGGAAAGCCAACAAAGCCCAGATTGCATCTGCTGAGAAACAGCAGGGAACAGGAAGTCCTGGTTTCCAGGTGCCACACCACAATGCTTCCTGCAGACTTGGGCTCAGAAGCCAGAGGATGAGTGTCAGCTCTGTCACCTGCCCCTCAGCTTCGAGCACCGGGGTCAGAGAGTGGAGGCACTTCAGCTTGGCTGCTGCCCTAAGGCCCGCCCGGGTGTTTGGAGATTATTTTCTATTCCACGTTTATTCAAATTTTAGTAGTAATCCTGGGGGTGGCGCTCTTTGACAGAAAGTTCCCTTACTACAATTACATTAATCTAAGGGTGAATAAAGCTCTTATCTGAACAGCAATAGATCAAAAGTGATCTGAGCTTAAAAATACACACACACCCTGTGTACCGCGGGGCGCTCCTCAGGCAGCCTGCAGCAGACAGACCTGGGCGGTGGGAGGCAGACAGACAGACAGACAGACAGACCTGGGCAGTGGGAGGCAGGCAGACAGACAGACAGATCTGGACTGTGGGAGAAGACAGACAGACAGACAGACCTGGGCGGTGGGAGACAGACAGACAGACAGACAGACCTGGGCAGTGGGAGGCAGACAGACAGATAAACAGACAAACCTGGGCAGTGGGAGGCAGACAGACAGACAGACAGACAGACCTGGACTGTGGGAAAAGACAGACAGACAGACCTGGACTGTGGGAGAAGACAGACAGACAGACAGACATACTTGGGCGGTGGGAGGCAGACAGACAGACCTGGACTGTGGGAGACAGCAGGGGGACCCAGGACCTCTCTGCACTATAGGGGCTAATCCCAACCCTGCCGTCCCGTCTGGGCGGATGCAGAAAACCTGGGTGGGGCCCAGCAGGGTGCCAGTTGCTACTTCCCTGAGCCGTGTCTCCCTGAAGTCTCCCAGGTAATGCGCGTGCCCCGTTACTCACAATAAGAACCCAGACCGGAATCCAGCATCTAGCTCATACCGAGTAAATTAAGATGACTGAGGAGAAACAATCCCCCCTTCAATGTGGATGTCAGTTTTAACATCGCTGACTTCGTGAACTACACACATAACCATTAGAACACGTGACTTGGGCCCATGCACAGTGCACACGCCAGCTGACCTGAGACACCGGGACACGAGGCTGCATGCACGGTTACTGGTGTGCTTTAGGGGCCAGAGCCCTGCACACAGGGAGGGCAGAGCAGAGCTGGGTTACCAGTGGGAGATAGAGGAAGTGAAGCACCTCTGGGTCCACATTCCAGGTAATAGGGTCCAAATCATTCCAAAGACAAAAACTGACATTCAGTGTTCTTCTTTAAAATGTTGATTTACTTTTATTTGCCAGTGGGGGCATACACTCACCAGAGGAGGGCAGAGACAAAGCAGGGCGAGGTCATGCCCATCCCTTCTCCATTTCTCTGTCCTCTCAGGACTGGGGGCACGTACATTGTCTGGCGCGTTTTCCAAGCTTCTGGGACTCAAACCTCACGGCCGATCACCTGGGACCTGGCTCCCTTAACCACAAGGCCGTGGGGCTGGCCTTTTCATTGTTATTTTTTATCGAACTACTTTGCTGGCAATATTAGCTCTGGTCCCGTCTGATGCTTAAACAATTGGTAAGGGGCGAAAGTGGGGTTCCCCACGTCCAAGTCACTGGTACTCTGTAACCGCAGTAAAAACGACCAGGAGCCCCAGGTGGGGGCTGGCCCAGTGCCACATGCCACAGCGGGGGGGGCCTACCTGGTTGCAGGTGCCAATGTCGATGCCCCCCTTCAGGTACTCCACCACCTTGTCCAGGTTCCCTGCTCGGGCCGCCCGGAGGAAGCTCGCATTGCTGTCAGACTGAAAGAGGAAGAGACATGTGTGAGTCGCTGGCGGCCGAGGCAACCTAAGCAGGAGTGCTGCGGGGCAGAGAAGGCTAGTGGGGGAAGCTCGAGTCTGGGCTCCCGCCGAATGGACAGAGTAAAAGTAGCCACGGCGCCATGCCACCTCGTGGCTGCTGGAGACCTCGAGCCCGTGGGGACACACTGCTGTGCGCTGGAGAGAGAAAAGCACTGCAGCAACACCTGTGACCGTTTTACTCTCGACCTTCAGCCGCAGTCGAGGTGCTCACACCACCCTCAATGCCAGCTCTGCTCATTCCAGCCTCGGGAGTCTAGTGACGGCACCGAGCCCAAGGTCCCCACAAGCAGCAGTTCCAACGCATTGAAGAAAGGCTGATGCAAATTTTGTGATCCCAGTGACCCTGAAGGAGCATGATTACATCTAAACAGCGGCGCGATCCAGACCGAAGTCTCGGTAAAGATGCCCACTCCGGACGGAGTCTGCTTCTACGCTTCTCATCTTGCCCCACTCCTCGAAATCTAACCCGAGAAAACCAGCTGGGTTCTCCCCACACACACCCTCGTGATGGCTGCCCCAGGAATTCAGCCCGGTCACCTGTCCCGTCCCCTCTCCCCAGGGTGGCGAAGAAGTCTGACTTCTCAACCTGGGCATGGTAAGTGACGACAACCCTCTGCCGGTCCTGGACCCAGTGTAGCTGTTAGGATTTTGTGTGACACAGCATCTGGCCAAATACAAAGTGGCAGCATGACAAGGACCATAATTCACCTGTCAGAAAGTCCAGTCCCCTCTACTCATTCATTTTCCTAACCTGCCAGAGGGTACATGCACTTGCCAGAAAGAGACAGAGAGAACGAGGGAGAGGGGAGGGCACCCACGGGCTGTGGCCGCACCCAAGGGCTTCTCCGCCATTTCTGCTGCCTCGGGGACTTGGGGCCACACGCAGGGCTAGACTGCGGGGTCAATGAAACCTCCTCACCTGGCTACGTGCTGCCCGCCCGCCCCTGAGAAAGACCTGCAGGCGTGTGCTGTGGGGGCGGCGATGCCCTGTAGTGACCAGAGACCAGGACGCGAGACGGGGAGACGTTCTCTGGAAGTCCTACATACAGAATCACTCACAGACGACTTGCACCCGGAAGGCAAATCCAAAGGCTGAGCCATCTCATGCTTAACCCAGACACCAAAGCACTTCACGTGTTTGTGGATCGGATCCACTGGAGCAGAGAGCGGGTCGCAGTCTGTATGTCCAAACCCATGCTCTGCCCTACAGGGCCTCCTGCATGATTGATACCGCCTGCCCCCCACGCACCCCTGCGAC